ATGAACCAACGACACGCGGGGACGCATCTGTGTTTCTAAAGAACACGACGACCGAAGACGGAGGAGTATATATCTGTTGGGTTAGGCTACTACCTTCGGACACTCGCGAGACGGTTGTTAACTTTGTTTATCTGAAGGTTGTCGCACGGACGACAGAGAAGGCCCGATCGCATGTGATTCCGATGATTCTTTTATCCACACTCTTTGTGATCTCACTTGTGGTTATATCCGTTGTCAAACTAAAACTACATCGGTCTTTGGTGTCTTATGTGCATACCGCGACCACATAATAATAAAAAACTTGTGTGTGTTTCTAAATCATATACAATGTGTATTGCTTCTTTTTTTTACATAAACAAATATAAAAAGATATCCCGGGATCCTCGTGTGAGAACATCGAATGGAGTCGATAGAGTATGACGCTCCGATGTGTTTTGTAAAGTCTTTGCGCTAGAACCGTTGTCAACAACCATTTGTTGTTGTGCCACGCGTTGAACAGTAGAGTATGACGCTCCGATGTTTTTGTAAAGTCTTCGAACGACGCGTCACACGACGCGTTACACTGTTTTACTACAGCCAAGCAGCAGGCGTCCCGGGGAACGTTTCAAGAAAAATTTTCGAGGACCGTCACTGTGAAAACGGGCAGGCGACGCGACGCGGGGCGCGCGAATTACATTTTGTCGCATTAGAGACGAGTGCGTTTCTAGTTTATCACGTTTCGCCACGCGTCGCGGGGTGCGCGAATCACATTTTGTCGCGTCGGGGACGAGCGTGCGGAGTAGTATGATATGAATGTGTTTTTTTATAGTTTCGTGAATCGAAACGCGCTACGCAATGCAGCTACCCGCGTAAGAAACTAGCATTGTCCTTATAGTTCCGTGGATGTTTGTTGTGTTTTTTTTTAATGGGTATCGGAGGCGGTCGCGTAACGCGTGCTTCCGTGTATTCCAAAACCTCCGACTGACCCCCCTTTTTTGTGTTCTCAATAAAAATCCGACCATCCGTTTATGTACAAAATACCGACCGACCATCTTTTTCAAAAACAAATCATGACAGTACATTCCCGACCGACCATCTATTTCAAAACAAACCCCGACCGTACATTTCCAAAATCCGACAGATGATCAAACCCGTTGTAAACCGTCACTGCGCCTCGTGCAACGCGTTACACAACAGAGTATGACAATCTGAAGGTTTTGTACAAGCTTCACGCGACGCGTCGCATGATACGTCGCGCGCTTATAATACAACCGACTATCAAGCATCGGAGCATATGTTTCAAGAAATCCTTTCTAAGACCGTCTCTGTAAAACGAACGCGCTGACGAGCGAGCAAGTATTTCGAGAAAACATTTCGAATATTTTTTTTCCTCAACGGAACGGACACGCTGAGCTATCGCTCGCGACGCGTTATAGGATGCGCGTACTGTAACTCGAGGCGACGTTCTTTTATAGTTTCGTAAATGTTTGTTGTGTTTCGGACGCGATCGTGCAACGCGTGCTGTGCACACAGAGGGCATAAGAAAAACCTTCCGAAGGCCCTCTGTGTATAATCGACGCGCGAACCGTAGCGTTCAACGTTGAAGGCGAGTGTGTTAAATTTATTAAACCGACCGTCCGTCGACGCGTTTCTCCCGACCGACTATTACTCTTACGTATGTATAAAAACCAGCTATGTGTTATTTTTGCACCGGGAGATATACAACAAGCCGCGACACGATTCGAATGTGGTACTATGTGTATTTTTTTTTAAGACACGTCACTTCGAGAGACACGCTCTTGTCGCGACTAACCTACGTTGGATCTTACAGTATATATATATAAATATATATTTGTGTGTGTGAAATAAAACGTACACATGGCGGTTTTACTTGCGCTGATTTTATTGCTGAAAAACATTAGCGCGATTTTGTCTGTCGGTGAGTTTGAGTATATCAATGGGCCTTTTTTTTAAAAAAAAATATCGTGTTCGCACACGATAACATTTTGTTTATGTAGTTTGTTGTTGTTATAAACAAAACCCTTTCTCATATTGTCTTTACAGAAATGGACATTGAGACCGAACCGGGGCGCGACGTTTTTTTGCCGTGTCACACACCCGACGGAACACCGCCAGTGGGCGCGGACTGGACCAAACGCGAGTTGGAAACTACGGGACTGTATGTGTTTATGTACAGAGACGAACATATCTACGCTGATGATCAACATCCATCTTTTTACAACAGAGTGGAACTTCGCGACGAACGAATGCCGGAGGGGGACACGTCTGTGGTTCTGAAGAACGTCACGTTCGAAGACGGCGGAACATATATCTGTACTGTTAGGTCATCGTCAATGGTCCCCCGTCTTGGCATGGTTGTTAGCACCGTTCATCTAAAGGTTGTTCACCCGACGACCACGATGGGCCCATTGTATGTGACTGGTGTTAGCACCGTTAATCTAAAGGTCGTTCACCCGACGACCACGATAAGCCCATTGTATGTGACTCTGATGATTCTCGTAACCGTACTTGTCGCGATACCCTTCGTGGTTGTAGCCATTGTAAAAATAAAGTTACGACGGTCTTCGATGTCTACGCGTCTTCCGTGCGATCACCCCGGAAGACGTTTGTGTGTTTCATAAATCTATCGTATAATTCTTATGTGTCGGTTTTTTTATTTTTTTATAAAAAAAAATAAACGTACATACATAATGATCCCGGCGTCTATGTGAGTGTTTGCACCGATATTTGTAAGTTTAACTAAATTACACGCAGTTTACGATTAATGCGCGTTGTGGGTCGCGGTTTGAAATTGCTACGTAACCGCGACAGAATCAAAAGTATATTTACTAAGACCTATTATAACGCAAAGATTTCCAAAGGCACCGACAGAACGGGATCGGATCGAGGTCGAGAGGAGCGAGTGTCCGTCCGTCCGATTCAAACCCGGACGCGGAGCGAGCAGGTCGTTAAAACCTCAGGCATAACTACGCGTCCGGCCGCCGCGATGGGCCTGTCGTCTCCAAGAGCGCCGCGTTGTTCGATCACCGTTCGCGTCGATACGTTTCGCGTCGCGGGACTGGCGGACGTGTCGTGGTACCGTTCAAAGTACAAGTCGGGCGAAGAACTCCGTGACGAACGCGCCCCGCTCGACGCGTCGCGAAACGATATTATTATTCTCCATTGTTTATATTTAGCCGGTTTATACGACGACTCGTTGGATTGCGAACTGCCCGACGACGCAGAGGAACAACAGGACCGTAGGAGGTGGCGATTACAATTCGAGGTTTACGTAATGTCCGATCTATCTAGGAGGTATAATTTTAGCGTACAACCTATGCTAACGGACCAGGAGGCGCGTTCTGCGCAGCTCCGCGCCGTGGCCGAGGTAGATCGCGTGTGGTTGTGGCGTATGACGCGTGAACGTTTCGTAGATTATATCCACACCGCGATGGACGCTATTGTCGACGGAGACGCGTTCTTTGGTGTTTCTTGACGATGGTTTATTATTTACAAACAACAATTTACTCGTCGCGTTCACCGCTATAAATACGGGGTCGCTCGTAGCGTTTTTCTCTCAGTGCAAGCGTTTACGTTCCGAGGAGGAGACAAGCACCCTTGAAGAAATTTATAGTTAGTACTGATTAAATACAACACAGAGTTAGGGTTTTCTACTTTATACCTTTATAATGTTGGTTATATTTCTTACAATGTGTTAATTGAAATAGGGTAGATACATGTCCGAAAATAACAACACATAATTAAAAGCTATATTAACATCAGATTGAGGAATGTCTGTATGAA